CAAAAATGAAGTATATTACCAAGTAACCCAGTGAGAACTGCTTGCCTATCATTTTAGTTCAAAATACAAGAAGTTTTATTCCAAGCAAGCATCGCAAGCCCGCTAGGTTAATTTCTGCTGCTTGCTTGGAATAAAATTTCTCATATTTTATATTAAAATGATAGACAAGCAATTCTGTTAAAAGCACTGGCACTGAACGTTTCACTTCATGCAGTCTATTTTGCAACTTTTTTAAAATGATGTCAATCCCGAAAATCTCGGGATTAGGAAAACTTAATCCCAAAAATTTTGGGATTGAAAAGTGGTCTGGATCCCGGGATCCCGATTTTCGAGATCCCGGGATCAAATCCTCTACTTGTGAGAGATTTGTAAAAGACATCTTGTACTCATCAAAAATGAACAGTGTTGAAGAACTGAAAGTTCACATTACTGCTGCAATTGCAACTATTACAAAATCTACTTTGGAACATACATGAGCAGAAATTAAACATTGGCTTGAACTACTCCACACAATGAAAGGTTAACATATTGAGGTATATTAACTACATGTAAAAAACTTTTTGAGGTAAATACTGAAATCAGTAAACATTATTATACTATCCCATGTAATTTTTTTAATGTGTTGAATACCCTGTATGCATATGTATATCATCTTTAATATTTAATAAATTATTTTTTTATAAAACTTTTATTAACTATCTTTTCATTTATCCTTCATCTCCCAGTTCCAACATTATCAGATAATTTGAATTTTTACTGTATTTTCATTATTATGATATAATATTTTAACATAGTGAAACACAATTCTGTATCATTGGCTTACTATGGGCATACGTAATACACTGATTTCCCCATGATTGTGAAGAATTGTGACTGAGTAATCTCTCATGAACATCAAACTCTTACCATTTTTAATGTTAAATTTGAAATTTATTTCAAGACTTTATGTATTACTGCTGTTTTAAAACATTTTTAGAAAAATGAATGGTTTTATTAAATAAATATTTTGTGCAAAGGTTTTTTAGTGCTGCAAAAGTCATTTTATTTAAGCCAAAAAAAAATTTTTTTTAAATAAACAAAACAATAACACAGACATCATATATATGAGTGAGTGCAGTAATTTTTTAACATTGCACCTGCTCAAACATCCACTGGAATTCATGCAGGTGCCAACTCCAGTTTACAGTAGTACATAATCTCCCATTTCCTTAAAGGTCGAAACCTTTCACAAAAGTTGAAATTTTGTTGCAATAATATTTGATCACAAATGATCAAATTTCTGAACACTGACATTCATGAACATTGAGGGTGTAGTGCAGGGGTTGCCAAACTTTTTTGATCATTGACCCCCTACAACTTTTCGAAACCTCACATCAACCCCCACCAAAAAGTTTGTTACAAGCAAAAAAAACTTACTATTTTAATACATTTCTTTAAATTTTACATTTTTTACATTTATTGTATATATGTGAAATACTAAAATTAAATGAACAGCAGCTTAAAAATGGCTGTAGAGGTGCTAATAATGTCAGACAAAAGTTTACAAATGCTACAGATGCTTGACATATAATATGTAAGTAAGAACTGAGCATGTCTGTCCTGTGTGACTTGATCCATAGTCATTTTACACATTGACAGGTAGCTGTACTATTAAATTCATTGAAACAATATTCAAAAATGTAATAATATGTATAGTTATATTTGTGAATTTTAGTTTCAATTTTTCAATTAACATCCCTCCATAATGTTATATCGACCACTTTGGAGATCCCTAGTATAGTGTATCATTTTTCAGTCATGAATATTGAATATTATTACAATATTATATTCATAGAATCATAAAAAACTGAACATTAAACAAATAATTTGAATGTAATATTTATAAACATAAATCTCTCAACTTCATCATTGCGTTTCCATCAACAAAATTTATTTTTTTGATAAAAATAAAATGAACATTGTAAATTAATGTATAATAAACATTACCTTAATGATTTGTTTAATATTATATATTTTTTATTTTATAAATGATAATTACAGAATCTTAAAGTATTTAAAAATATGAAATATTTTGTTACACAGAACTTCCTTTTTCTAATAGCTCTTTTGCTGTTTTAGCTTTATGGATATTAATGCATAAACTCTGTATAAATAACTACAGAATTAACTTTTGGATATTTATATAAAATTAAATAGAATTATTAGATTTAAAATTATTTTATGAATATTTTCAATAATCATATTATCTGTTTCTATTTTGCAATATCATTAGAAGATATAAGTATTAAGGTTCAGAAGATTATATAATTATATACAGTCGACCCCCCTATAACGTGCGTTCCTATAACAGAAATTCCTATAATGTAGCGAAAAAATTGTAGCAACATTCGTATAAAGGAGCTCCTAAAACGTCGTCGCTGACTCGTTTCGCGACAAGATTGATAGAATCTGGACCAATAGTGGATGAGCAGCCGAACTACTTTCCTCCGCCCTGTGCCACGCTACAGAGCGGCTAAATTGAGTTTGCTATCGTCTGTACAGTATTATATATAAATTATATATAAATTAGGTACTGTATATATAATTATATATTAACTTAATTTATTGTAACTTTATTATAATTATATATATGCTTTCTGCTGCCTGGCGCCACGCTATGGAGATTTTAGGCTAGTAAGTTGAGTTTATTATCGTCTGTACAGTATGTAAATTAGGTACCGTAAGTCTAATACAGCACTAATTTTATACATTTCTTGTGAAAGAAACATTTCTTATTCAACGGCCATAAAAATTATTTATATTAATGATGTCTCCAAAGGTCAAGTTATTTTTCTGCAAAAAATTTGTTATCAGAAATCGCGGCCACCGTTTCGTGTGCTGTTCTGCGACGAAAACAAGCTTTGAGCAACGGCGTAGTCGAACGGTGCACACTCGGTAAGTAATCCTATAATTTTTTGTTTATAGCATAGTTTATACAGATTATTCCCAAAAAATTATACCTGTTTTGGAAATGTTGAGTGGAATTAGTCTAGAATCGGTTAATTTTATAGGAGAAAACCTTTCAAACAGCCTTAGTCCATAAACTCCACACCTATCAGGCTGCGATTGGCTCATGTATTTAATCATTCCTACAACATAAAATTCGATTAACGTGGAATTTATCTAAGCGTTATAGGGGGGTCTACTGTACTAAATTTTTTGTGTATTATTAAATTGTTTGATTAAATTGGCTTAAGAAAGCCTTGTTTAAATATTTAATCCAAAATTATCATTTATTCCTATTTCAAACCAGATTTCTAATGATTTTTATTAAATAATAATATCAAATTAGAAATATATAATACATTATTTGAGATATGAGTTTGCAAATAAATTATATTTGATGCTTATTAACAGGATTATGGAAGTGGGGATGGAGAAGAAAATGGAGAACGAACAGAAATCATTAATTTGGAAACACTTCAACTTAAATTACAGCAAGAAAGAGCCAGGTTTGGGAATTTAAAAAGTGATTTATTCATTTACTGGTTTTTATATTTAACAAGTTTTTAAGTAAATGACAGGTTACAAAAAGTTTGGTGGGTTTATCTTATAATTTTATGCTGTTTTAATATCCTATGTTATGTTTACTCCTATTTTAATATGAGAGTTTTAGATTTTGTTTAGCTTTAAATGAAATAATCTAAATATAATCTTATACTAGGACATTGTGTGACATAGTCATATTGCAATAGAATTGAGGCAAAGTCAAAAAGAAAGAAGTGATCCTTGCACTTGTTACACACAGAAAAGGCGATTCCTGTACCTGATGGTTGCAGACAGGCAAACTTTGCACTTAGTGCCATGAAAGAGGGTTTCTCCTGTGACCAGTGGGGCATTTTTGCATTCATCGGACACAGGAGAAATGATTTTCATACCCTGCTGGCCAAGAGAGAGTCCTTATACTGGCCCTTATACTGGTTGGTGCACAGAGATGATCCTTGTACTTACCAACACAGAGAGGCAATCCAAAAACAAAACAATTGATGCCTATGCCCACCAGTGGCTAAGTGGATAAAACCAATAAACACTGGTTGTTGGTTATGAGTTTGTACCTGGCCAATGAGTTGGTTACATGGAATTTCTTAGGTTTTATTTACATTAGTAACATCAAAATAGGGGCAATTTTCCCATAAAAGACCTCCTGAGAGGAAAATTGGCAGATCACTGACAATCCCTTGGCAGATCTCTGACATGTCATGTTGCCGTATATGAATAAAACCAAAGCAAAAAGTACAGTCATACCCCGACTTACGCTACCCCGACTTACGCGAACCCGGAGTTACGCGATTTTCAAATCTTGTCGATTCATCTTTTGTTTGAGCGCCACGCAATTCTTGATTATTCACTCCCCCCCACACTATTGTCCAGCGTACATGTTCGGACGTGTCGCACGGAATCGACGCATAGCTACAATTTATTTTGTGAAATTTATTTCTGTTTGTTATATCTACGGAGACTTGAGAGACTCTATGTGGTGATTTCTTGTAACCGTGAACGAACCAAACGGCGAGATAAGATTAACGAGAACATTTATTAGCTTACATACATCCTACTTGGATTTTACTCAAAGGCATCTGCAATCGTGAACAATTGATGAAAAAAGTATACATTTATCAGATAATAAACAAAGACTCATTTTGTAAACAATTTACCTTTTGTATATACAACTGACAAGATTACCTTTCAAATTTATAAACAGACTCGATCCCAAGCGGTCTTTTGATCGTCGGACATACAAAAGAAATGAACAGATGGCGCTTAACTTAAGCGCGGTTTACAATAACGAATACGATTAATCCTTAACACTCTACTATGTCATCCAAACGAAGTAGAACTGATTTTTCTGCATCAAAGAAGAAAAGAAAAACTTTATCTTTGGAATGTAAAGTTAACATTATTAAAGACTTCGATACAAAAATGAAAATTTGTGAATTGGCAAAGAAGTTTGATCTACTGGAATCGACGGTCAGAACAATTATAAAAGATAAAGAAAAAATTCTCGAAGCTGTAAAAAATGCTCAATCTTGAAATTCAAGCATCATTCGTAAACGTCACGGTATTATCGCTGAGATGGAAACAATGTTAAAATTATGGTGTGATAATCAAGTTAATGTGAAAAATTGTATAATAATATAATTTGTTATACGTATGTATTATCTAAGATTTTATTAAACATTTCTTTGTAAATTATTGTTTTCTTTAGTCTCCGGTCCCAATTAAAAATAATTTGTATGTATTTATATGCGAAATTATACCCCGACTTACGCGAATTTGACTTACGCGGTTATCGCTCGGTCCCACCTATCGCATAAGTCCGGGGTATGACTGTAATTGATACCAATTGCTTTGTTCTTGTGTTCTGTATGTTTTTTACATCAATTTTCTGTTAGGTGCATGCAATGCTGTTTTTTATTTGGTTCCTAAATTCTGTTAGGCATGCTTAATGAGCTTGGACATTGTCACCTTTACCCCACTTTATATTGAAAATGAAATCATCAATCCATGATTTCATTTTCAATATTTTCTACATTAAATGTAGAATTGAGTTTGTTCTCAAAATTTTGATGGGTTAATTTTGATAAAATTTTGCAATTTTCTATTGATAAAGAATCTAGAAATGTAATGAATGTAAAAGTAATTTACATTTATTACATTTCTAGAGACTTTGTCACAATCAATAGAGAATGGCAAAGTTTTATCAAAATTGACCTATTAAATTTTGAGAATGAACTCAATTCTATAAGCCACGTAGAAAATGTGTTAGTGACCTTGGGACATCACATGACATCACTTTGTTGCGCATATTTGTGAAATGACCTTATATCTTGAAAACAAAGTCATGGACTCCATTTTGTTATTGCATTTTTGGATTCCTCATCACAATTAATGGAAAATGGCAAAGTTTAATCAAAATTGATTGAACAGATTTTGAGAACAAACACAATTCTGTAAGTGTCATAGAAGAGGCTTTGCTAATGCTCCACCTCAAATATTATGATTTAAAATCAGATTGCTTTTTCCCTTTAGAAAATTATTCCTTCTCATTATTTAAAAACAAATATATTAACATTTGCATTGAGTTTTCATTATCACATAATTTTATTGTAATTTACATATTGGTTTATATTCTTATATCATCAATTTTATTGTTTTATCAAATAATCAGTAAATACAATATATTTATCAGTTACATTATTATACTAGCTGTAAAGATGTGAATCTCCATGCAATTTCTGAATCTTCTCTAATGGTATATACAGTAGAAAAAACACAGAAATGTATTAAAGTAAGGTGATGTGTTCTCTGAAATCTGGTTGTTAATCAATTCTTGCCCTGTCCCCTTGAGATGTGTACATGTGATCTGCATGTTTGTTCATGTATATTTTATATTTAATGATGTCTTTTTAATACATAATTATTTCTCATATGTGTTAATTATGATTCTATAAGAGTTAATTGTTTGTTTATTAGAAAACTATAGATGAAACCAAACTGGAACTACAAAATTGTCCAATTTAAAATACACTTTCTTCACGTCCAGCAAAACAGTTTAATTTAAAAACATTTTTGACTCAATTGATAAGTCATTATCAAGCTACATCTTAAAAATTTTATATTTAGTACTGGAATGTTTGAATAAAAACACATTCAAGTTAAGATTGTTATAAATCAAATGCTGTTTTGCAAATGTCACCAACATAGTACTCATTTAAATGGACTGTTTTACTATCCAGTACTCTGTTAACTGGAGTCCACTAATGTAAAAACATAGGGGAGAAAATAAGGAACATGGGTAAGTGTTCTCTCAAACAAACTACTATCTTATCTGTTACCATATTCAGTAGATGTGATTATACAGGGTGTCTGCAATCTTTAGACAATTTAAAAAATTTATTACAAACTAAAATAAGGCAGTAACAGAATAATTCTGTTTGCATATTGACAGATTATTATTGTAGTTGTTATTAATGTCATAGTATTTTTATCAGAGACCATTTAAAAAACTGAAATTTTTCAAAAATGACAACTACACAAGAAAGAGAACAATGTATTTCCTGGTTTATTGCAACAAAATCAGATATTCAAACACAAAAAATTACAGAACTAAATATGGAAAACATTCTTTGGCATATCAGCCGACATAAGCAGTTTATGAAAATAGGTGTAGTGTTACATAAACCAAGGACTAGAAGGCCTAGAACATCTGATGGATATTGAGTGTATATGTCAGTCATTTTGTTGTATCAACTATGTCCATCCATATTGCTTCCATTCAACTACAAATTTTTAAAATTATCTAAAGACTTTGTTCATATCATATACTTTAATATCAATTCTCATATTTAAATTTTATATTTTGCAATTTTCAAAATAATGTGTTAGGAAATTATGAATTTGAGAAACAATCTACACTATTATGAATAATTGAATATTGATTTAAAAAATTTTTTTTGAAATAGTTTAACTCTTTCCCAAACCTCTTAATTAATGTCTCATACTTAGTTTGAGGGCAGGTTTTAATGGACTATAGTCTACAAATGTAACAAAGTGCAAAAAATGATAAATAAATGTAATTTAAATAGCATCATTGATCATTTTTAAGTTTTTATTTTAATTATAATTTTGATTGTTCTGGTAAACAAATGTATATTTGATAGTTTTCTTTTAGTTTGTTAATAAGTTAATAAAGTTGGGAAATTTGTTAAGGGACAAATTTAATAATTCATACTTTTGTGAAGGATAACATGATAATGAGTAAAAAAGAAAGAAAATATTTCTTTTTTCACATTCAAAGCCAATTTTATTTTTATGTAATAAAATGTCTTATTTTATACTTTTGAAATAGCATTCAGCGATTCTAAAAGTATATTTTTCTAATTATTAGTTTTAATTTTAAAAAGTTTGGTCTGTAAAACCTATCTGTTAAAGATAGAAAATAACAAATCATTACAAAAAATGATTAGTTAAAAATATCTAAATTCATTAGTAAAAATTTATTATAATTACAAACTGTATTTACTCGCATATAAGACAAGGTTTTTATTCATTTATCACAACTTCAAATTCCTAGGTCATCCTATACACGCAAGCAAAAGATTCTTTGCATTTTTGCAAATAATTTTTGTGAATTGTATATTAGCATTTTTTTTACCCTCTTGTATTTAAAAACATAAGTATTTTATCTGGGTCGTTTGAATGTATGTTGTCAGGAGTAAAGATAAATAGCAATATGCAAAGCTTTTGAATTGAATTCCAGATTGAAATTCCAAAATCATACTGGATCCCAATATAAGTTTTAATCCATTCCACGTGAAAACAGATGATTATTTGGAAATCAGAATTTGGAAAAACTCATAAGTGTAATCGAGAATGGATTCGTATGTTAAGAATTACAAAATAATTCCCGATTGTCCAGCTTTACATGAACAAATTATGTTGGTTTTACAAG